GATGATGATAATGATGATGATGATGATGATGATGATGATGATGATGATGGTGATGATGATGATGACGATGCGAAAGACCAGCGGAATTTTAGACACGTCACGGTTTTCCACACTATTCTACACTCAACTAAGAACTAAGCACTTAAAGGTTGAAAAACATGTGATATCTCTTTAGACAGTTGGGCTTATCAGAACACGGTAAGTACTTTACGGTGCTCAAACTGAGCTATTTCCTGTGGACCCCGGAAAGACGGTTTTTAAGTGAAAATGTAGGAGTTCAACACCGGTTGATAGGTGGTCCTGGTCTGCTGAGTAGGTACTGTCCGGGAACAAAGAATGTATTATCCATTTGGGCGTCCAACTGGTTTCACAGCATGGAAACATCACAAACGATAAGTACAACTGGGTTTCAGGTTAGTCTCTCGCAAAGCCAAATTAGTTTACAACTGAGTGTATTTCTCGAAATCAGTCCAATTGGGGTCCAAATAAAACGTAAGATTGACGGAAACTCGGGGACTGCGCCTAACTGATGAGCCCCAAAGTGTGCACAACCGATCGTGGGCTGTCGACGATTTTTCAGCAACCTTATGAGTAGTGCATTACGAATACACATGTATCGCGATATCTCGAATATCGTAGCGACTGAAACATGAGGCGGCCTGTTGCAGCACATTCAGTCGCCTGGATACATCACAAACGAGAGATTCAACTGTGTTATAGGTGAGTCTCTCGCAAAACCAAATTAGTTTGTTTTCGCTAATGAGAGACCTTTTATCCCATCTGGATGAACATTCCAGGTTCTCGGTACATTCACAAATCTGTAAGTACATGCGGAGTAGGCACATCGAAACAAGCTTTATGTAAGTGATCACGCTATTATTCCACCATTCAGGACAGCATATTTGTCGGACTGCACTACAGTGAGTATGTTAAGAGACGTGTGTACTGCTTTCACTGATTTAATTGGATGACCAGAAGCTGACATCGCAGAAAGACTGAAAGTGACGGACTATTCGCGCGGAATTGGAGTTTGAACAACTATGTTCTTGGGTGATTTCCAAAGCCTCGCTGACAGCGAATGTGTTGCTTACTGTTCGCATCTGTTCATCAGTGTCAACCTGGTCATCCTTGTTGGATGCTCTTAGTCCCCATCCGCTCAACTAATAAAAACAGTATCACCCGTCGTTCCCTGAGATGAAAGGGCGCCACTGATTTCGGCCTGTCTAAACAAAATTAATGTGCAAACGGAGGTATTCAGCAGATTCTGGCCAACGTGGGTTCAAGAGAAACATAAAACTGACACAAGCTCAGAAACTGCGCCTACCTGATGAGCCTCAAGAAGGACGACACTGATTATGGGCCGTCGAAGATTCCCAGAAGCCTTATAAGTAGTGTGTTACGTTAACAAAATATGGTGTGATATCTTGCACATCGTGCCAACTGTATGAAACACATTCAGGTGAAGAATAGCAGAACACGGATGAACCTAGATTTAGCTGGGTGTCTCGATGAAAACAAACTGGTATACAAGTGAGTGCATTTCGCGAATTTCGTCAAATTTTGGTTCAGGTAGTAAGTACTCCTGACCGAAACTCAGGAACTGCGCCTAACTGATGAGCCCCAATGTAGGGCGAAATTGGGGAGAGTCTTTGCTAACCTTATTAGTAGTGAATTACGTCCGTCTGTCCAGTGTTCTTACTTTGGTTAGCTGGATGTTCGTTCCGCAGTTCACTTTGGGAGCCGGTCTTTCCATCATATGAGTACTGAGCCATAACAGCCACGAATTTCATGAGGTCTGCTTTGTATGCCTCAACATTTCAGTGTGCTAGTAACACGTCATTCTTGTGGGTGCTCCACATTCAGGACATACAAATCTGCGTCAAAATGTGACGCCAAATTGATTGAGAGCTTTATCAAAAGTGGTATTAGATAACACATCATTCTGGCAGGCGCTTCACATTCAGGATATACGAATCCGCGTCGAAATTTGACTCCAAATTGATTGGAAGCTTTATCGAAAGTTGTATTAGACGGAGGCTAGTATAAGGGATATCTGGTTGCTTGGGGAGTTACCAATAACAAAGGGTTGCAATGTTTTATTTTCAACCAAGTCCACTTTGAAGCATGGTGTTCAGCCCAAACAAATCTAACTACCCAACGTCGTTATGCATTCTAAGGATTCTCGCCCTGAGAAGTCATCTTCAAATGAAAGTCACTTTGACTGGGTGGTCTCGTTACGTCACAATCAAATTGCGTAGGTTAGTTAGCACCATCACTTTAGTCGGGCTCTTTTGAGGCACCAACCGCAGACAGCTTGCCCTTGCCATCAGAATTTGTTCTATGAAAGCACCATGCACACATTATTCAGTGGACTTGTATCATGCTCTATGGATCACAAACAAAAGAATAATAAAAGCTCGTTGTATTAAAAGGGGTTCCACCAATCAAATCATCGAGTAGCGATTCCAACTAAACTATGCGGATATCTTGAAAATCCTTTGGTACCTCAGCTACAGATACTTTCATCATCCTGGAGGACTGCATTAATTGGAGAAATAGTTCACAAAAATTTCACGAAGACATGAGACATTTCAATGACACATTCCTACATCGTAATTTGTGGACATGCTACATCTGGCGGATCCGTTCATTCAACACACGCCTTAAGGCATTAATGCGTGCCTTAAGGCATTAATGCGGATGTGCAGGGGAAACAAAAACGTAATTTTAACTCTGGGATGATCACCTGTGAGGGGCTTTTCTCCCGAGTGTTTTCAGGTGCAACCGCATCCTTTCTGATCTGAAACAGAATTTCTCATGTTCTGCTAGACACGACTAACCAGTCATTGTGTACCACTAAATGATCCGAAAACCTCAGCTTTCGTTGCCAGTCGATTAGGTCTTTGCTAAGCGTGGTAAATGGCTTGCAAACGTTTCGTCACCATTCGAGAAGGCAACATCATGCAGGATACCAGTATTTCGGTATATCGCTAGCTTTCTGTTTTAGTTCACCTATAGATATGTAGTGTGACATACAAAGTCAGCGAAAACCATCTGAAAGCGCTAAGATAAGTCGCGGTATCACTGTCTGAAGTCTGGTTTCCTTAAATATAAAAAAGCTGAAAATTCTCACACTTCATTACTCTGGTTTCTACCTGAATGCTGAATCAACGTCAGTCTGTGTAAGCTTTGTAAGGTGCACTCCGTCAGTCTTCAGGAGCTTTGTTCGGTCACTCTGGTGTCTACTGTCAAATCCAACCAATGATATCACGCGAATGTGGGCTGTCTGACTTCGTCATAGTTGACCAATCGATGCATAGACAACTGCAATGGTCCAGGCCAATCAATTCGTCAGGTCTAGGGATATTGATCAATAAACCAAATTGGCTGTGGGCTGCGTCAAGATGGGTCTACACAACCATCTGATTGACGATAGATATTGCTTCGTGATTTTGTCGAATGGATTCGATTAACACTGTTTAAGATCTTATCGTTTAAAGTATCATGTCGGATTTATCGGATGCTGACCGAGAACGGATATCTGCATTGTTCAAAGACTTGGATATTGATAAAGATGGTCGTGTGAGTGTGGCGGAGTTGGCACGGGTGATACAGGGGAAAAGTGAACAGGCATCTCACAAAATAGAAACGGCTAAAAGTATCATTAAGAAGGGGACAGGGGAGGATTCAGATAGAACGAACCTCACATTCAACGAATTCATTGCTTATATTCGTGATACCGAAACCCAGCTGAAGCTTGCCTTCAAACAGCTGGATAAGAACCAGGATAATCTAGTCGATGCGACGGAGGTACAAGCAGCTATGAAAGAACTGGGTGTTAATTTAAGCACTGCAGACGCCGAGAAGCTATTACGAAGGATGGATAAAGATGGATCGTTGTCAATCGACTTTGATGAGTGGCGGGACTTCCTCCTGTTCAGTGGCACCTCAAAAATTGATGAAATCTTCAAGTACTGGAAACGTGCCTCTGCAATTGACATTGGTGAAGACATGCTAGTACCGGATGACTTCACGGAGGAGGAGAAGAAGTCAGGTGACGCCTGGAAAACTCTAGTAGCTGGCGGTAAGCTTCACTTGATATTCTTGTTATCTTTCGTGGGATCGTTTCTTGAAGCTGGCCCAATGACTAAGAGCACACCTTCCAGTACAGAATACTGGGTATCGTTTTGATGATTTGTGAGCTTTGTATTAAACCGGTACGTAGTACGCAAGAGTATTGTTTTATGCCTAAATCACGCTATCAGAAAAAATCCACGTCTTTTCACTGCGCTTCCTGTATCCGGTTTTAGCTCTTACCACCTTGGTGAATCGTGTCATTTAGAAATCAAGAATCAACAGTTTTGGAAACTCGAAGTTTCGGTACACTAGCGTGAACAAATTGTATGCCTGAAGTTGGATTCTTACCCTCAACCTACGGCTTACCTAATGGTTGGCCTACGACTGATGCTTACCCGAGGTGACTGTTGCACTTCAACTTCGCACGTGATTCGCCAATGGATCAGCAGATAATGTCTACCGCTGTTATTGGCTACCCCGTGCACGATTCTCAAAGCCAGCCGGCGTTGATATCATCCGGGTACCTGAAGGTATTCCTGTAAATGTGTGTGCTACGGAAGGCGTTCGATAGAGCTTCCGTTCGGGGATGGTTGATAGAGTCCATTCTCAGACGTGCCTTCCCGTTTCTCCTGTGAAGTATAGGACGGTGCAGCAAATATGAAACGAAAAGCTATCAGATTATTGCTTCAGAATTCCGGTTAGACACAGGGGGCAACGAATTGCCTGGAAAGTGAAGAGAGGCCAGCTTCGGAGACCAAAAGTGACAGCGGACGGCCTAATGGCACCTGGCCACCAAAGGAGGTTCAAAACGAAAGGCACACAACATTGGCTGAAACGGACAGCTATTCATCAAGTCAATGAAAGAAAATGCTCGACCTCCGGGAATTGGAGACATGCACAAGAAATGTCTTCGCACTTCGCCACCCGAAGCATCGGCACATTGAATAAGGGCAAGCAGTGAATGAATTGCAATCCGGTTTCGAATCCGCACAGTATGTGGACGATCGTATGTGAGAGCTATGGCTTGCATGCGGATTAACGTTTGTCTCCGGCTTATTACTTCAATACTGTATGTACTGAGAATGTACTATAATAGGAAATCGGTAGTCGTTTGCCTGAAGTAAACTACTCACAGGGTTGCTGAAAACTCCCCAACAGCCCACGACCGGTTACGCCCTTCTTGGGGCTCATCAGGTAGGCTCAGTCCCCGAGTTTCCGTAAACCTTATGTTCTACATGAACCCAAATTGGACTGTTATCGTGAACTGTTTTCACTGGAGAATCAACTGGATTTCTCGCTTATGAGGCGACCTGTGTGCAGCACATTCAGTTGTAGAATATCATAAGCGAGAGATTCAGTTCAGCATCTCGTGGAAACTAAACTGATTTGCAAATGAGTGTATTTCTCGTTAATTATTTTTTGTTTGATAAATACGTTGATTCGATTCCACTTTTCGACAATGGACGAAGTTTCACATTTCGTTCGTCGGAACTCATCGCACTTTACACAGTCCTAGAATGTTAAGCATATGGGTGCATTACAACTATAAAACCGTGTGACTAAGGCTCACATCTTTAGTGAATAGTATTTTTGGATCCTCTTTTTGCCTCCTCACTTTTAAATAAATCTATGGCAGGGGTTGTGAGCTAATTTTCGGCTGAACCACTTCACCAAGGCAAACGTAGTTGGTTGACCTACTTGCGGCTTGTGATATGCTTGCAATCTCATTCTGAGTTCTTAATTGGAACAATCAAAGATCTTAGCCGGTGGCCCGAGGTTTCCTGATCAATTATTTACTAAATGGCTCATAGCATCTGGTCTTCTATGAAAACACTGCATTGTGTGACCGAACAACTATGTGAATGTAAACCACTTCAGCAGTTGCTACTGAGTCTGACGTTTCGATCCCCCATAAGTGGTTGTAAACGACTTATTTTTATAGTTTTGAGTGCAAGGATAAATGGTCTAAATATGAGGTAAGTGGTAACACACCGTGGTTTCAGTGTGCTGGTTACTTTCGACAATGTATACTACGAATCATCTGGCGCTTCCGCACCAGTTCCAACCAGTACACAGGAGAGACTCGTTGGGTTGAAGGGTGAGGAATGTGGCAAGTGCTGCAAATCGAAAGCTGGCTTGGTAGCACATCATCGAGTTCACGACAATGAAAGTGTTGATACGAACACGGTTGCCCAGTTGGCCTGCGCTGATTGTTCCCGCCTTTTTCCGACGAAGATTGGCCTGAGTCAACACCGCCGGCACGCACACCCCACCCAGCATAATGCGGATAAGCTTGGCCGA